TTTTTTTTGAAACAATTTTTGCAGGAGGAACGCAAAAGGCCACTGAGCGACAGTAAATCGGATGAGAGTTGTAAGCACCCAAAAATGGTTGTGTCAATGAACAGCACAAATGAAGATCTCAAATCCAAATTTCTAGTTTCCTTCCCTCCAGAATTCTTCCGTTTCTGGAAAGATATCTGTGTGCTCAGTGGCGAAAGCAGTTGTTCAAATCCGTGCAGTTAGTTCCGTTTTCCACTAATTTGTATTCTCCCATATTCATTTCTTTTGGATGCCTGTAAGGATGCAAAAATTAATCGTGGATTATGTTCCAAGTTCAGTGCCCAAATAATGAACATCAGATGATGTCTTGTGAGAACGTTGCAGTAAGGTTGAGCGATAGCGGAAGTTAACCGAAATTCGGCTAGGTTGATGAGGTCATCGCATTGAATGATCATTCGTATTCTATTTTAATTTCTGAGTTTTCTCTACTCAGTTTCTGAGGAGATTGAATATCAGTCTACTGTAATGCGTAGTGTCTATATAGCACTATAATTATTAATGATTTTTCCGCCATTTCAAAAATACATTGATTAGAATGCATAGTTGATGAGGATTGATGTTTGCAGTTGCGTTAAAAGATTTGAAGAGTCTACGTTTAGCTGGCGTATTCGAATATCTAGCAGGTCATTTTACTGAAGAAACTGCAAACGCTTACCTAGTGAAAGGTCGCCATGCGAATGACTTGCCCGAAATGCAAACGTTCGCTGCTTATGATGAAGGTCGTTTCGCATACTGGCGGTTCGTTTTTGTTTTGTTTTTTTGATTTTCCGTTTCGTTTATTTCTTCTTTTCTCCAGCTATGCGGGAAATCAATTTTAGTTGTGCTTAAGCAACACAGAATTGAATTTTTCACCAGATGAAAATAAACAGATTTCACAGTTCTCATCAGCAAAGAATATGCAAACTTCAGCGATACACCGGATATGGACAAGCCCCTCGTTGTGCATGTGAACAGTGAAAGTGATCATTTCGCAAAACTAGATATCGTTGGTATAGCGGATCCAGTTTACATGATAGCATGGCTTAAGAATAAATATGGTAATAAACTCAACAAAACAGATCATTTCCTGTCGAAACTCGTACATGACGATTGTGAAGCGCTGAGTGACACCGATGGTAAATATGAAAATGGAGGTGATTCTTTTGTCATCATTTTGATTATTTAATTTTTTATTCTATATTCTGTTAGGTACCTTTTTATTCTATATTCTATGAATCGACTGAATTGCAGAATTCAATGCTAAGTACAGCGCATTGTTGAAAAACTTGAAAGCAAAGCGGCGTAAGACGGCTCTGGGTGATCCTTTTCATGGTTTGGGTATTGTTGTTGAAGTGAAAGATGATGTCGGATATCGCCCGTTGGGTGAAAAAACTGGTTCGTTTCCACTTTCTTGCTCTGAGTTAAGGAGTGATCTTGATATTCAGTGAGAATAAATGGCTCTGAATAGTGATTGTTGATATAAACTGATTTTCACCGTTCCAGCGAGACTGAAGTCGTTGTTTGAAGAAATCGCTACAGCGAGTAGCGTAGAATCAAAGGAAAAGCTCATGGAAAAAGTGATGGAACTATTTTGCTATGTACAGGTTCGTTTCTTCCTATGGATGACGGCTTCAATAGAGCTTATCTCATTAGCCTTTTCCTTCGATTCTTGTCAGGTGTTTGTTCCAGCCAATTTTTCAAGACAACAACTGATTGATTGTTGTTCTTCGAAACCGGTCGAAGGGAAAATTGCTCAAATCTGAAGGGGATTTCCTAAAAAATGGGTTTGTGAACAAACTCATAAAAATGATTCGACGTGAGCATATTTTGAAATTTTGATCTATTTTTATTCAAGTACATAATGCCTTTGTTTTATCATAACAGTTTGCCAACGATGAAATGGATTTTGGAATGGGATTAGAATTCGGTCATGATTTGTTCACGGCCAACTACGAATGCTTCGATAAATTAGCTGTTGGTGTTCTGGATACTGCTTACCAGTTTCTGGACCGTGATGCATTCTCCCGTATTCTGAAAGCACACGCTGACGTTCGACGACTGTCTGAATCAAAAAACAAAGAAAGTGCAAAATGAATGGCGTTAGTTGTGCAAAATTAAGCGATTGTATCATGGATTTGCTTCTGCAGTGCGTATTCACCCCCATTGTAAATTCATTCCATGCTTTCAATATTCATTTGATAGCATTTAATGTTTGAATGTTTGAGTGTTGCTTTAATGTTTGTACTATTCGATGCCTTAGGGAATGCTGCGCCCTGGGTTCCCAATGAGACCTTATTGAGCTAAGTAGACGTTTTCTGATGTTTTGGATAGCGGGACTTCTTGAAAAAGAATATGCATGAGCTTGAGGGAGTTCTAATGCATTAGTTCTTTCCTGACTTGAGACTGATGTTAGATCTCATTTCTGTTTTTCATTAAAATTGTTTTTGCATTTATCAATGGAGGTTTTGTATGTTCATGTCTGACAATTATTCGAGTTTTTGCTATTTGTTTAGAATTGTTTAAGATCGATTGATTAAACAGTTGTTCATGTCGATTCTACACTCATCGTTTTCTCAGGTTGAATTATTTCTGGATTTTTACATTGAAGTGTCCATTAATGCGTTTCATCGTTGAATTAAAAGATAAATGTAATGCTGAACATATCGTTTTAAAGTGCTGTATAATAATGAAGTTTATTACATGCGTCTGTGAAATGCTTGACGATAGAATGAATCATTCGCGCATTCGTGTTGTGCATGGCAGTTTAAGAAGTTGGATGTAAGTCGTCATCGAAGCAGCGTAATTTTAGAATTCAGTGGTCTTCAACGCATCGATTAAACTCAGTCATTTATGTATAATAGAACATGTTGATTACTGTTTGAAAAACATTACTCACAAATCTAATTGAATATGAAAGAATCCATCTGCAACATAAAATGCAATCGACTAGAGTAGAGGTATGTGTAATTATGTAAAATGCATTATGCTTGTTTAGTTGTTGTAGAAATGCATACACTCATCGTAATTGATCACGTAAGTTGAGACACGATTATGCTGATAATACGTCATCCATAACTGAAATTACTCTTTTATGTCCGTTCGATTGCAACGCTCAACCTTGTAACAGTGAAATATTTTTCGTGCAAAGTAAATGAACCGATCCTGCTGAGCTGTTTTCCATTTCATTTTGACTTCATACAGCCAGAACAAACAATTGCGTCATTTACGAGACTGCCCCTTTGTAGACGTCATTGAAGACTGACAAATTGACGTATGAGTCGGGTCACATTTGAGCAAGAAATGTGATATGCGACAAGTCCTTCTCAAGAGAGGGTTTGTCAAAACCGCTTCACAAATCATTGACATATCGAAAAGAGCAGCAAGTCAACGGTGATTAGAACAGCCATCTAGCAGAAAAAAAGCTTTCACAATGAAGAGACATGAACTCTTTTAATCCTCAGAATTTTATAACGCTCCATTGAATTTTACACTGAGAAATCGATTTGGCCATTCGTTATAGGATTAGAAGGTGTGAGAAACAGAGAATATGAAAGGTTAGCTTATTCGAATACCTAGATTGAATGGAAGCATCATAATGTACTCTTGAAAACTCAATGACCAAAACCCCATTGAAGAACAGAAAATCCCAAGAGGTTCCACAGAATTACATGCGTATTAGCATGGGCATCTAATGCTCATTGAGCAGAGCAGCAGTTTGATAACAAAAGCATTCTCTAACAGCTGCAATGTTGCATTCAACATCTGCTTTACTACGGATTCAGCACAATGAAAGCTTGAATGCTTGCGAATTCGTTGATCGACACCTTTTCAGCTAGGCGATTTCTGGAAGATTTTAAATGTGCATTCGCAGATCTGATCTTTTACAGCTCGTTAATGCACTGCGTTCTGTTTGAGTAATTCATTAACGCTTCAATCCTATTTAATGGATTTGGATATTGGTCGCATTTGAACGCATGAATAAGCGATCCTGTCCAGTAAACGCCTATTCACATTGATTTCTTCCTCATTTCCCTCACACTTCCTTACAATCGTCGCTCACTCAAGGCGTATCACGCATAGTTGCTTTTATATTCAAGCTGCATTTATTCGCCAAATAGTTTTGCATCTCAAACCTTCCTCAGCTTCATTGCCTGTGCTGATACTGTCACTTTCTTTTCAAACCAGAAAAACAAAACGTTCTTCTCTTTACATTGGTAAGATTCGATAACTTCTAAGATTCACTGATCATTTTAATAAGTGGATTACATAACGACTGTTCCAGCAAATCAAACCGATTCCACATCATGGGTTGACTCATGAACGTTAGAGGAGCAAATTGAAGCATTTTATCCAGCAGGTTGCGGTTAGGAACGACAGTGATTTCTTCACAATATATTGATAAATAGGTCGAGCACACGGTATTTCTTCAATGTTAACAGTGTTGAAGACATGATTAGTCTTGACGTGTCACAATCATCGAAGTTGTACGACGTCACAGCAACCGAACAACCGATTCAATAGTCGTTTATGAAAGCATGTGATCTGTCATCGTGAATGCTTAGTCATTGTTAAGTTTAGTCTCGCATTCCGCAACAATTCAAATCCGTAACTATTGAATTATTACGGCCTCACTTCTTTGCATTTGGTACTGTGAACACTTTAATGGATTGGTTTTAAAGTGGTTTTTCGCATGTGGATATCATAAAATTTACGTTTCAAAGAAACGTAAATTTTATGGTCTGCAAACGTAATATTGGTCCGCAAACGAAGTTGGCTACATAGCTGTAATGTTATTTTGCAATTGTAAACTAAACTCAATGATTGATGGATGAAAATGGAACATATCAAAAGATCGATGATAAAATGGAACATATCAAAAGATCGATGATCAATTTTCTCAAACGAATTTCTCAACGCTAACAATAAGCATTTAGCAGTTATTCGAGAGAGCTTGTTGGCAGCACACTATGAATTGCCGTATCTTGCAGTTGAACCAGCTTTGTCAATCGCTTTGCGTGATCGGCGGAAATTTATTTTATTAGAGTTATGATTATTTATTGGATTGGTGTTTGGCTACGTTTAGTTATACAAACTAATTAATTACTCGGTTGT